TGCCAAATCCGATGAGGAGAAAAAACGGAAAAAAAGTGAAACCACCATTTGGATTTCTTAATTGTTTTATTGTAACGTAAAATCGATTAATTCTTCCTAATTCATTTAATTAAATCGCGACCTCTCTTCTGGCCGGCCGAATTCTTCATTCCTGTAGTAATAACTGGAGGATTCTTGGCAAGGGATGGCGGTTGATTCCTCCACGCAGGTTAGCTCCTTCTGGTCGAATACAGAACCCTCACCGCACAGGAAGCTGAAAGTGACAGAAAAAAAGGATTTAAGACAACTACATATTATAAATCCTGTGCAGATCTAGCAAATCACTCTGGTAGATTTGCCAAAAAGTATAGATACATACCCAGCCTAATTTGCTATTCAAATCCCTATTCATTAGATAGCATGATCACCATCGCTACGTTTAAAGGAAAATATATCGCAATTTAGACTACAGCATGATCATACCTGTATTGGTAGGTTTCGATAGCTCCGATTGAGAACAGGGCTGGGTAGCATATGGTGAAGATCCGGCAGGAATTATCCTGGTCTGCATAGTAGCCGTAAGGACGACCTTCGCAAGAGAAAGAGGTTGAGATGCTGTTCAGCAAGCGAGAGGCTCCAGCAGGAAGGTTGAGAGGCTCGAAAACTCCATTCACTACGTCTGAAGATCCAGTGGAACCAGCACCAGTTGTTAGACCAAACCCACTGTTTGATGCACCAAGTCTGTTGGCACTGGATGCACCGGATCCAAATGCACTGCCAGTTGCACCAAATCTGCTGGCAGTCGATGCTCCAGATCCGAAGCTGCTACTACCAAGTGCGCTTGATGTAAATCTACTGTTGTTGGCTGCACCAAGTCTGCTTCGGCTTGAAGAGTCAAAGTCTCTGCCAGTCGCTGTGCCACTTGATGTCCTCGATTCAATTCTGTTGCCATTTGATGTAGTTGGCCTAAATCTGCTGCTACTTGATGTACTTGGGGTAAATCTGCTGCTACTTGAAGTACTTGGTGTAAATCTGGTGCTGCTTGATGTGCTTGGTGTAAATCTGCTGCTACTTAAAGTGCTTGGTGTAAATCTGGTGCTGCTTGATGTACTTGGCCCAAATCTGCTGCCACTTGATGTACTTGGGCCAAATCTGCTACTACTTGATGTACCGGATCCAAATCTGCTGCCACTTGATGAACTAGGTCCAAAACTGCTACTGCCTGATGTAGTTGGTCCAAAACTGCTTCTGCTTGATGTACTAGGTCCAAACGTGCTGCTGGTTGATGTACTGGGTCCAAAATTGCTGCTACTTGATGTACCAGTTCCAGCATTGCTACTGGTCAGTGTGCCAGATCCAAAGGTATCACCACTTGATGTGCTAGATCCAAAACCGTATTATTGCCCGAGGTACTGGATCCAGTGATGCTACCACTTGATGTACTTGGCCAAAAGTATTACTGCTTGTATCTGTTTCCAAAACTGACGCCACTTGATGTATCAGAACTTAATCCGCTGCTAAATGATGTATCTGAACCAAATACGCTTTCGGACAAGGAAGAAGATACAAAGCCAGGAGTACCAAGGGTTTCGAATGGGGAACCGCTGGAGCTGCTTTGGAATCCAGTGGTACTTGGAGAATTATTTCCACTTGTTAGAGATCCAAAGTTAGAATCCGTTCCAAATTCACTTGGTGATCCAGTTTGGATTCTGTCATTGGTAAAGGAATCAAGCTGGAATGGAGCACTTGCTGGTTGTGAACTAGATAGTGATTCCGCTATTGGCTGGTGTGTGGACCCAAACCCGCTACTGCTCGGTACAGATTCAAAACTGATACTTGGAGAATCGGAAGCTAAGTTTGCGTTAATGTCTGAATCAAATTGGAATGTGGTGCTACTTACTGAGTTGGATTGGAGGCCGCTATCAGTGGATGAACCAAGTCCTAATCCACTTCCACTTGAACCAAATTGAATTCCAGTGTCTGCTATGGAGTCAGGTTGGAATCCTGCACCTGTGGTAGAACTAGAATCGAATCCTGTGTTTGTGAATGTACCTGACTGGGATCCTGTGTTTGTGACTCCACTAGACTGGAATCCAGAATCTGTGACTGAGCCTGACTGGAATCCAGAATTTGAGACTGAACCAGACTGGAATCCTGTGTTTGTGACTCCACTAGACTGGAATCCAGAATCTGTGATTGAGCCAGTCTGAAATCCGGAATCTGTGACTGAACCAGATTGGAATCCAGAATCTACAATAGAGCCAGACTGGAATCCAGAGTCTGCAATTGAACCTGACTGCAATCCTGTGTTCGTGACTGCACCAGACTGGAACCCAGAGTCTGTGACTGAACCAGACTGGAATGCAGAGCCAGTAACAGAGCCAGGCTGGAATCCAGAATCAGTAACTGAATCAAACTGGATTCCAGATCCAATTCCTGAACCAGACTGGAATCCATTATTACTTACGGAAGCAGACTGGAATTCATTATTACTTATGGAACCAGACTGGAATCCATTATT